CCATGGAGACAAGGCATCCCAGGCAGGCTGCCTACCCCCTACCTCATCCTCAGAATTTCTCTTTTTAGTTCAGAAAGATCTTTGAAGGTGAAAGGTTAAATATTAATGAGGGCAGGGTTCTTGGGAAGCCGTGGAGATAACCTTCCACACTGAGGTTATTTGACAAAGTGTCCTTACCCTTTAAACATCTCTCCTCACCCCCAGGAGCACCGTGGAGCTGACAGTTTGAAGGAGTCTTTGCCTTGGCATTTTATAAAGAGATGATTTTGTTTTCTATCCCAGCACCTGGGAAGGTGGGCACCTTCCCCTTCCTGCTTGGGGTAGGAGGAATTTCTTTGAGTTGTCCTACTCTGCCCTTATTTTCCTGAAGCACTCTCTGTCACCACCCGGCTTGCTCTCTCCTCCCTGGAACCTAATTCTGTAGTCTTTACCTACCCTGAGGTTCACGGGTTTTGTTTTCCAATCTTCCTTCCTGTTACAAGTTAGTCTCTTTTATCCTTTAGTCATTATTGTTGTGTCTACCTGAATTCCTGGGTATGGGGGCCCAGCCTCCTACCCCTCATATCTCAGGGCCCTGGGGAGAGGCTGAGTTCACAGACCCAGTTGCTGAGAGTGATTTGAGTTGGATTGTCACCAGGCACATGATCCTGAAATCCTCACTGAATTGAGTAAGATAAACCAAATGTGTATTTATCAGCATGTCTCAGTCCATCGGAACATTCAAGTATTTACAAAATGTTCTCCCTGTTCGGGCACTTAAAATCCTTTCTCTGACAACATGTTTGCTTCTCCTTATATGACACCACCTTGGATAACAGCTCCTCCACCAGGAGTCAGGAGTTTCTATTCCCGAAGTCAAGCTTCCCGTTGCTCTTTTGGCTCTGTGAAGCCATCTGGGGACTGTGTCTCCTTTTTATGAGATTCTTGGGGAGCAGGGGAGATTGATGTGAGTTGTGGAATGTATACACTGAGATGATACTGGAAGGCTAATGAATTGTGGCGTTTTAAAATTCATTCATTAAACATTTGTTGAGCACCTACTATTTGCAGAGAGCAAGGATATCCCCCGGGATTAAAAATGTGAAAAAGTCACTGTGCCTACCCTCCTAGTCTACAAGGAGAGAGGAAAAAGAAAAATACAGACCTTTTTTTTTTTTTTTT